GTTGTCAATGCAAAGACAGGCAATTTTAATCCACCAGCTACTCCAAGAGAATAAAATGAACATTCTCCTTTAGCGTAATTTACAGCTTCTGAAAACTCACTAGAGTGTCAGTTATGAGTCAGTTTTGACTCATTGGCACAAAACAGCATCAATGTACTTAAGTTTTGTAGTACTTAGTACATACTGTCAATGCACTTAGTGTCATAGAGTCTTAGTGATAAAGTAGCTAAAGAGGGCTCCTAATGGCAATTTTGCTGTTCCAACCTACCATCTGCTCTGTAGAGAAAGATCTTTATTTAAAATTCTATCCTGAATTTAACCAAATAGAAAGCAACAAGACAGATAGCATTGTCTGTGAAATATAATTTGCTACATGAATTCTTAGAAAAGTTTACACACCAGTATAAGAATAGCCATAAAGAGGACATGGTTTATGCATGGGTTTGGATTTATGGCAGGCCCATCCCCAATGGACTGTCATAGTGTTCAATGCCAGAGCAACTGTAACCCTGAACCATTTTGTGCCTCCTTTGCTCATAGACAGCAAACACTGAAGAGCGTTGCACAGTGTGTGTGTGTGTGGGGGGGGAGGAGGCTATCATTAGTTATTAATTTCCGGGTAAAAGTTTCCTTTTATTTTTTTGTGAATTGACTGTCAGGAATAATAAATTTATTTCATGATTATTAGATTCATCCTTTAGTCGGATTAGGTTCATAATGAGAGAGCATGCATGGTAACTTCCTATTAAAAAATTTAAAAAGAGTATAGTTATATTATTAGGAAAAGAATAGTTTCACTGTTTTGTCAAAAATGAAAAACAAAAAACCCAAAAACTGAAGCTACTCACCTGCAGCAGAGAAACAGGTCTCCACACTCCTGTTTCTCTGCAAACTGAGCATACATATTAGCAACAGCGCAACTCTTATTTTCCAACAGCTCAGCCCTTGGGACTCCGACTCTGGAGGATTGAAATCAGCTATGCATCAAACCAATTAATGAAGGCAAAAGGTAGGTTCTTTGTGTCACTATTAATGTCTGGGATTTCCTTGTAATCATATAGGAAAATTACTCTTTAATGTTGACTACAAGCTTTGTTTGTATTTTACTAAATGCTCTAAGGAATAAATAAAGTTCAACAAAGTCAGGCTTTCACAAGGTGGTGATTCCCCTCATCATCTATAATAGAATTGTCAATAATTCTAAGTAATGAAGATCCCTAGCCTCAAACAAAATGTGAGGAATCAGAATTCTCATGAATCAGACCTAGTAGTAGCTATATTAAAGAAAGAAATTTGTTACTGAATTAATCAACTCCTTAATTCATAGCAAGTATCAGTCAATTGCAATTTATCTACATTACAATTAATAAATTCATAACAACATATTGATTCATTAATTCATAGCAAGTATTAAACAGTCAATTGTAATTTATCTACATTGCAATTCAAAAATTGCATACTCCATAGTATAGTGGGAAACACTCACCCTTGAGACACTAACTTGTTTCGTTCTCCATCTCTCATGGCCACTGGCACAGTCAGTGTCCTCAGCTGGTTCAGCCATTCACAGCCACTGGTGTGGCCAGGGTTAGCAGCTCCTGGCCACCAGTGCAGCCAGAGTCTTTGGCTCTGAAAAGAGCCTTTGGGTCTTCACAGTTCAGGGTTACAGATTAGGGTCTTCAGCAAAGTGGAGCTTTCTGTTAGGCTCCCAGAGTTTATATAATTTGGACTTCGGATGTTACATTCTATTCAACCAATAACAAAAAAATACAACATTTGAATGTGAGAGTGATCTCACTGCGACATCTGTCACCCCACTCGATTGCCAGGGTTGATTCAGCTCATCTGGCTGGCTAGATCACTCACTGATCCATGTGTGTCCTTCTTGAAGCTGCTTGCTCAGTTGAATATGATGATCCCCATGGAAGGAAGCCCATCCTTCGGTCGAGGGTGTATGAGTAGGTGAGCTCCCCTGCTAGTTCCTCCAAACAAGCTCTCAAAAATAACAACATTCAAAAATTTGAGTTTTAACAACCATATTAGTTTTAAAACAAGTTATATAACCAATCACATTAGTTTCAAAGCAACCTGGGTTTGACCAATCATGCTCAATTCAAATTACATTATCTTTGAAGCATGGGCAATAACAAGTTACATTCCCTTATCAGGAATTTACACATGTTGAGATGAGTCAGGCCTTACAGGCAAGTTAGAGCATGTCTGGGAATCTTTAAATCAAATTGTTTCAGTACACTTCATTACATATATTTTCACAATAAATTCATAACATAAAATAACATAACAACATAATTAATATATCATATATAAATTTTCACAGAAAATTAATAACATGTTTCTTATTCTTAAATATATTTTCACATCAAACATAATATGCTTTCATAACAAACTTTAATGTTTTCTTATACCTAAACCACTCATAACATATAAATGTATAGTATGTTTTCACAGCAAACATAATTTATTATATTTAAACTGCTCATAACACTTCTCATAGCATGAAAACATGCTTTCATAGCAAACTTATGATAATTTCTTATACTTAAACTGCTCATATCACTTCTCATAACATGTAAACTTATATGTTTTCATAGCAAACTTATGATAATTTCTTATAGTTGACTGCTCATAACACCTCCTTTCATATTCTTTGAAGACATTATATATGTAATTGCTTTCCCAACAATTCCCTTCTCTTCTATGTTATACTTCTTCAATCCTTTCTTTAAATTTTGTGAGGAGGAGTTTAACCTAGCGATCTCTATAAATCTGGATTAAACCTCCTTTAAGGGGTATTATACAACATCCCATGAACATTAGTACTCCTAGGACAATGATGTGGGAAGTAAGAACTGAAATCATAAGCCCTATCTATTTTCCAAACCATTGCTTTATGATATTAGATAAAAGATCACTTGAATCTGAGTTTTCAGCTAGCACTGTTAGTCCCTATAATGCTTTGGTAATCATACCCTCAGGGGCCATGCTCTCATGGATAGAAATACCACACTGTCCACTACTGCCATGATGGATGAATAAGAAATGGAAGCGGTCAGGGAGAGAAACAGCAGGAAAAATACAGCCATCTTCAGCACCGCCTCCTACCTCCCACTGTGTATTGGGTAAAAAATTGCTGTTGCTGTTGCTGTTGATGCAATTGCCATTGCTGCTTCCTACTTCTCTTGCCCCTGGAGAAGGACTTCTCTGTCAACAGGACAATGTATAGAGAGAGGAATGGAGATTACTTTATATGGTGGTGACTAAACTAGGGAAGAGCAGAGAAAAGGTTACCATGAAAGAAAATGAGGAGGTAAAAAAAAAATTAAAATGAGTTTTCCTACTTTAAAAAATAAAATAGAAGTACAGCACTGAGAGATATTCCATCTCTCTCTGCTAATCTCATATGTAAAACTACCCAGTTTTTACACGTCATCCTACTTGTGGTGTACCAGCAAATCAGAATCCACTCACAGCTGACGTTCTGGTGAAATTTCAAAGACAGTTAATTGCAGTTGCACAGGAGAAGATTGTACATTTTTCTCTTGTGAAGCAGCTGGGGGACTCAAACCACATGCCTTTGAGATTGCATCACAGTTTCTTTTCTCTGCTATCCCTTTGACATTATTCTTGGTATAGTTTACAAATCTCTGTTGGTTATGCTGTTGTTATGTGCAGTCAAGTCACTCAGGACTCATAAGGAACCTTTTTACAACAGTCCTTAACCCTGCTCTACCCTGTGCCAATTTTATTGTCTCTGACACACCTACTTCCATTACCCCAGCCACTGAATCAGTTCATCTCCTCGAGAGTCTTCCTTTCTTGCGCTGTCCCTCTAGCCTACCAAGCATGACATTCCTCTCCAAGGACTGGGCCTACCTTGCAACATGTCCAAAGTATGTCTGAGGAAGCTTCAGAATCCTTGCCTCCAAGGAGCAAGGAGCAGTCTGGTCTCACCCCCTTTAGGATGAACCTGTTTGTTCTCCTAGCAGTCTATGGTATATTCAATATTATTCTCCAGAACCACAGCTCAAAGGCATCAATTCTCTTTTTGTCATCCCTAGTCACTGACTAGCTTTCCCATACGATTAAAACTGCCTCCAAAACCCACTAGAATATCAGCCTGAGCCATTTCTAACTCGACGGCATGCAACAGAAGACAAGACTATGCCTAAAGAAAAGGAAGCAAAACTCCTTAAAACTGGACTCAGACAACATTGTGATATGTGAAGAAAAGATTGAAGCTGTCAATAGTATAATTTTACCTTGGTCCATGATTAACTACCATGATAGCAGCAGTCAAGAAATCAAATGACGTGTTGCATTAGGAAAATCTGTATTAAGGATCTTTTTAAAGTGCTTAACAAGCAAGGATGTCAGCTTAAAAAATAAGGTATGCTTGAATCAAGTTCTGATATGATTTTTATATTCACGTGATAGTTGGACAGAAAAAAAGTAAAATCAAAGAATTGATGCCTTCAAATTGTAGTAGTGGAGAATAGTATTGAATATACTATAGCCTGCCAAAACAGCACATGAATTTGTCTTCGTGAATGTGCAATCAGTGTGTTCCTTAGATGCAAGGATGGTGAAACTTACACTCATATACCATGAATATGCTGTCAGAAAGTGCCAGTCCTTGGAAAAAGATATCATGCTGGGAAAAAATTAAATGGAAGACCCTCAATAAGATGTATTGGGTATAAAAAATTATCTTGAACATGGTGGAGAACTTAAGAATTGTGCAAGAGGGATGGAGTTTCAATATTTTACTCATAGGGTCCCTGGAAGTGCTAGCAGACTCTCTGAGACCTGAAAATGATACACTAAAATATAAGTTATTCTAGCAATGATTCCTTTTATATCTGTCATAAAGTTGCCTAACTTTCTAGATTACGGAGATTCCTGGGCCTTAGTTCATTTTCTGAATACAAATTTCTTAAAAGAGGGACTAGAAGAAGCCACATTTCAGGTAATACATATAAATATTGAAGTGTAAGAATCAATACCAGAGTTAAAATTATGTGGTTGTAAGATTTAATTTTTATTTAAATCTTCTGCATAGTTCACTGGATGATAGGAATGGGAATAGCATCACAAACTTTTGGAAGCAAGAGTGGCATTCACGTCTGAAATAACATTCCTCTGGAAATTCTATGAACTTTGATAAATGTTGATAGTCGTAGAGGAGCTTCAGGCCTTTTGTTTATAGGGTCATTATGAGTCATGTTTGACTCCAAGGCAACCAACAACAACAACATCATAAATTTATTCATAATTAATTCAACATATTTTCAATATCTGACATGATGAATATTTTACATTTGCCTTCCTATTTCCTTTCCCCATCATCTTTCTAAGTGTCATTTTGCTATAATGTCCAGAAGGCTAATATCAACTTAAGATCATATGTGTTTTCTTTCATAAAGGGATGTTATGAACAGGTGATAGGTATAAAGAATAAAACAGTTCAGCACATAAGATTATGATATTTATGAGATGAAAAACTATGAAGTTTTTGTTTTTTAAAATTTTTCAGGACTTTAATGTGAAATAAATATATTTCTTGATATTCAGTGATAGCAAATTTAGCAATGAAATTCATGAAATCTTTGAGAGAATGATGTTGTATTATCAAAGGCTTATCATTCAAAATATCTTTTCTAGCCAATGATTAATTATTTATTTTGTGCTGAAATATTTATTGTATTAAGAAGAGAGGAAAATGGTGGAATACAAACCCTTCCCTACAAGAGGTTTATATAAGCTCAAGAAAAGTGAGTGCTACTGTTCTTTTTAGGGACACCTGCCTTTCAAGCTATTGTAATTGATAGTCTACAATGCTCACAAGCCTTTGCAAAACCAGCCTGCATACCCACAGTCACATGAGTCATTCCCCTGATGTGTTTGAGTTTCTGAGAAACCTCCCAGCAACCACCAAAAGCAAGGGACATAGAGGAGTGAGGAAACTTAGGAGGGACTGTTGATGTTGGAAATCATGGGGTTATACAGCCAATCAAAGAATTTGGGACAATGTTGACTTGGCACTTCTTATAACTGGTTGTAAGTTACTTAATCTCAGCAAAACAAATTATGAATGCAGGTGTAAAAAACTTGATTGGATATTAGAGGATGTCTTCAGCCTTTAATTTCTCATTTTCTCTTATACATACGTCTAGTCAGCTAGTTTCCAACAATCTCCTATTGCATAAGTAAAATAAAATGCGATTTATTTAAAATTGTGTCTTTTTGTATGTTGTTGCTATCACCATGCACCCTCCAGTTAGGGGCAGGGAGGAGAGTGCCTATCTTTGTCTCTTGAAGCAAGTGCATGTCTTCAGCTTGGCAGTGAAGCTCTTTAACACCCATAAAGAACTTTCAAATAACAATGAATATACAACATGCTACTAGAAAAAAATCATAAGTCTTTATTGGAAGTAATATTGCCAGAATGCTCCTTAGAAATGAGTTTGGACAGTTACTAGGAGACATCGGCCCCTGTAGCAGGATATTAAAAAAAAATTTTGAATTATTTAGTTTGCTATTTTCTTGTTATATTAATTTCTTAGGACTGCTAAAAAAAAAACAAAAACAAAAAACAAACCCAAAACCACAAAGAAAACAAAACAAGAAAAAATACAAGAAAAACACCACCATAAGTTTGGTTGCTTGACAAAACAGAAATTTATTTTCTTACCCTTTTTTAAGATAAATGTTTGAAATTCATTTACTAGCAGAGACATGCTCCCTCTGTTTTTCTCTTACGATTTTTTGTGTTCCTTGACATGTGAGAACATAACTTCAATTTCTGCTACATATGTAAATATCTGCTATATATGCTTGTTTCATCTTGTTGTTGTGTACCATAAGGTCGGAACCAATCCATAGCTGACCTTCAAGTGGATTTTTAGAAACAATTAATCACATAGGAGGAGACTGCCCATCATTCTCCTTCAGGACAACTGGTGGATTAGAACCTCATTCCTCTGGGATTGTAGCACAGCTTCTTGTCACTAGACCACCAGAGCTCCACTTGCATCACCTGTGTAAGGATATTTTTATTGACTTTATGGCTAACACTACGAGAGTATGAAGGACTCATCATGACTTAGTTGTTAAAGTGCTCTGTTTTTAACTGTTATCAGTGATTCGAAGCCATCAATTGCATTATGAAAGTACTATGCAGAAGTTTCCTTCAGTGAAAAATTATAGCCTTCAAAATATTATGAGGCAGTTCTGTTCTGTGCTATAGTCTTAGAATAAACTCTATGTCAACAGATCCTAATTTTAAGAGACTGTGGTCCCATCTTAATTCTTAATTTAGTTCTATCAGCAAAAGCCTTATTTCCAAAAACTATCATTTTTTTGTACTTCCAGTATCAGAGGAGACACTATTTAGTTTACTACAGCTGAAATGCTTCATATTTGATTGACAGCTATTAATAAACATAGAAGTGAACAGAAATAAAATTATCAGATAACTGGCATAATGGGTAAAATAATTTTAAAAGTCAAACAAGTAAATGGACTTACTTTAATCAGCATTTCTTCTAGAACTATTGAACAGTCTTCAATTATAAACACTGTTCTTTCAAGATAGAATTAAACCATCATAATCATGCCCATTAACTTCCTGACAGTCTCCTTCACATCTTTGTTCCTGAAGCTGTAAATTAGGGGGTTCAGCATAGGAATCATGACTGTGTAAAACACAGAGCCTATTTTGACTATGAGCCATGAGTTTTTGGAGTGAGGTACGCAATAAAGGAACAGGACAGTCCCATGGAAAATGGTGATGGCTGTCAGGTGAGAAGCACAGGTGGAGAAGGCTTTTTGGCTTCCTCCAGCAGAGGGCATTTTTATGACGGTGACAACAATGAAAATATAACTAGTGAGAATGATCATCAAACTACTCACTTCGTTGAATACAGCAACAGCAAAGCAAAGGAGCTGGCTGATGTGGGGATCAGAGCAAGAGACGGAAACAATGACAGAGTGCTCACAGACAAAGTTATTTATCGTTTTAGAGCCACAGAAGGATAATGTGAGCAGAAAACAAGTGAGGGTTAGGGAAGCAACTATACCCCATGTGTAGGGCCCAGCCACTAAAGATGCACACAATTTTGGGGACATCACGACTGTGTATAGCAGGGGGTTACTAACTGCAACGAAACGATCATAGGCCATCACAGCCAACATGAACGTTTCTGCAATAGCAAATACACAAGCCAAGAAGAACTGCGTGATGCACCCTGTGAAGGAGACGGTTCTGTCTTCCACAACCAAGTTTTCTAAGAGTTTGGGTGTGACTGTCGTGGAATAACAGAAATCAACAAAGGACAAGTGGCTGAGGAAAAAGTACATTGGGGTGTGGAGTTTGGGGTTGATCGTGATGATCAGGATCATGCCCAGGTTCCCCAGCACCGTGACAACGTAGGTGGTCAGGAAGATCACAAAGAGGGGTAGCTGGAGGTCAGGGTATTCTGAGAAGCCCAAGAGGATGAACGTAGCCACAGTGCTCTGATTGTCTTTAGTTAACACCATGATTGTTGCTGATGAACACCTGAAGTAAAGATAATAAAAAGTGGTAATAATAATGATGTTGTTGTTGTTGTTATGTGCCATCGAGTCATTTGCGACTCTAGTTCTATCCTGTGCGAACCTCGCTGTCTCAAACACATTCATTCCCACCACTCCACTCACAGAATCGATCCATCTCATCAAGGGTTTTCCTCTCCTGCGCCGTCCCTCCACAATCCCAAACATGACGACCCTCTCCAAGGACAAGTCCCTCCTTGCAACATACCCAAAGTATGTCAGACGAAGCTTCATAATCCTTGACTCCAGGGAACATTCTAGATTCACCCTCTCCAGGACAAACCTGTTTGTTCTCCTAGCAGTCCATGGTATATTCAACACTCGTCTCCAGCACCACAACTCAAAGGCATCAATTCTCTTTCTATCATCTCTATTCACTGTCCAACTCTCCGATGCATAGCACGTAATTGCAAAGACTATAGCCTGGATCAGGTGCACCTTAGTCCCCAGCCTGATGTCGTTGCACTTCAGTACTCTTGAGAGGTCTCTCACAGCCGCCTTTCCCAATGCAATTCTGTCTCCTGATTTCCTGGATGCTGTTACCAAGAGTGTTGACTGTGAAGCCAAGCAAACTAAAACTGTTAACTATCTCAATCTCTTCACCATCCACACTGATGCTGCCAATTGGCCCAGTGGTGAGAATCTTTGTTTTCTTGATACTGAGCTTCAGTCCATATTGAAGACTGATACACTTTTATGATATTTACTATGTGTCAGACATTAAGCTAAAGCATTAGTATACTGTTAGTTAATATTTTCAATTAACACTATGAAATTTAAATCCAGTCTTTTTACATTGATAAGACAACAGAAGTGTATGTAAGTTAAGAAGATAGTTTGAGATTATACAGCTTGGTAAGAGTCCAGTTACAAACCAAGGTAGTTGATTCTAAATTTTACCCAGGATAGTATTTTAAAGAAATGTGTATTTCACCATGAGTTATTTGAAATACTGGTCTTTATTCATAATATGATTATTGATATAGATGTAGTATTAAAGGCAATATAAAGGAAGTAGCAGGGAAAGTAAAGCTATTAAAGATATAAGACCTTTATTTTTAGAATATTTAGACTGAGGTTAATAGGAGGTATTCTGACTTTGAGAAAGCATTACTGCAAAATTCCCACATTAATTTTCAGGGTTTTCAAATAACATATCAGTGTTGAAGGAGATACGCAGGGATTTTTTGTGTTTGGGGGTTTGTTTAGTGGTTTTTGTTGGTTTTTTTTTCCCCCTGTTGAATACATTTTGACAGGGACCTTAAAGAACAGAGATTAAAGTAGTCTCTGGATTTCCAAGAACATAATCAAAGAAAGAAACTGTGACATCTTTCCTCTGTTGATAAATTAATTGGATTTTAGCAACTATTCAACTGCCAGGGACTTAACTCCTGCTCCATCAGGGCTCCTGGAAGAAAATATAGCTGTGTGTCTACAAAGCATTATTGGATTCTCTTCAAAAGCTTTAACAATTTCTTTTAACAATTCCATCATGTTGCTGACAGTGTGATGATTTTACAGTTTTCATGTATTGCTTTTACGACTATGTTTTTGTCCCCATGTTGTTTTTCTCTCATATAATCATTAGATATTTTTAGCATTTTAATGTAGATTCCTTTGTTATTTTCTTTTAATACTCCATCATTATTTTTTAACAGACAAACACACTGAGACATAATCTCATTAAATGTTCATGGACACTTTGGATTGGAAATATATTTTGAAACTGTTTTCCCAAGTTTTTGATATTTTCTAAAACAAGTTTCACAATGGTTATATAACCAGCCTGAAAATTCCTAGTGATATAAATATTGCATGTTAAAGTACTATCAAGAGATCTTTCTAAAGGCACATTAGTGATTATCTTGTTTTGTATCATTCATTTTTTGCTCATTATTTTAAGTTAAACAATAATCCTGTGTTTATAGTTTACAAAGTATCTCTGTAAATGTTTATGAAAATTAATAAAATATAATTATAGAAAAAAAAACGAAAAAAAAACAAACAAAATATTTAATGAACCAAGAGTAATTTTTTCCTCAAAAAGTGAGATGAGAATGAACAAACTTTTGCAATTTCCACATTAATGAAGGATTTTTAGTTTATATCCTATAATTGAAAGTATCATGTTGTATTTTTTTATTTTTTAGTTCAAGACTGAAAGGAATTACCATGTTTTTAGATGTGAAAAGACAATTTCTGACTCATAAATTTTTTTCACAATATATTGCAATTTATTTTAAAAATTAAAAAGAGAAGACTTTCTAGTGCCTAGAAATTTGGAAAACAGCCACCTGGCCAATCAACTACAGTAAATACATATTTTGTCCATTCTAAACAAAATTGATGCAACAGAATCAAGAAATTATCAAGTAATCTTATTCATACAGCACATTTTGTGTGCTAAATTTACTTTATTTTTTTTTACCCCATGATAGAGTGTATGGTTTACACAAGTAAGATAGGAATGGTCAGGAGATTGACAAACACACACACAAATATACAATCACAAGATCTTGGGTTTGGAAACACGAATATCTGATTAATTTCAGGACTTGCCATGTGCTCTGTGATCTCTTATTATTTAATGCTTAAATTATCTGGTCTCAGTTTCCTTACAGGTAATATGAGAAAAAAGAAGCTAATAAACAAGTAATCAATAGTTCATAAGTATAAAAGTGATAAATTAGAAAGTGGTGTTAAAATACTTACTCGGAGTCTTACAATTGTGAAATCCTTTAAATCTTGACTACTCTGTTTGGGGTCAGCAGCACAACTTATCCACTAGGCCGCTAGGGCTCCCTAAACATCTGTGGATATATAAGACAGTATTTATATATTTAAATATGCTGTTGTTGAGTACTGTGAAGTCAGCACTAGATTTAATATTTATACATATAAAT